TGTGTGATGGTGGAGTTAAACAGGCCACTCCCAGTCATCTCTGCAGCTGGCCCTGACCACCAGCGGTCAACCCCTCAGGGCCCAGCATGGAGAATGAAATGGTTTCTGAGCTTAGAGCCAGAGGCTTACATGGCACAAAATGGACACAGCCCAGGCCCATATATCATTAGCAGTAAGAGTGGCAGGGCGTGGCGGGGTGTGGCGAGGGGGGGCTGTTATTCACAAGAAGAAACAAAGGGAACACCAGACTTTCCTCAGGAAATCAGGGTTTAAGTCAAGCAGCTCACCACAAGATCTTAGCCCTTGGTTTCTGGTCTTACCTGTCATATTTTTGGTGGCATTAGAAAAGATAACTTGGGAACTTCACATCAATCAATAATTAAATCAAAGCTCTTAGTACTTTCCAGAGAATCGCAATTCAAATTTACATTAGCCCCTCTTGGGTCTCCAGAGCAGAAACTGCATCAAAAAGTTACCAAGGATCTGGTTTACACCACTTTCAAAGTAAAGCCCATTATTAATGACAGTACAGACCCTAATGCCTACCCACTGATAGGCGAGGAAGAGCTGAGGGATCGGGAGCAGGGTGCCTGATGGGAAGACAATGGGGTTGAACAGAGACCCACTTTGATTCCTGATGGGCTCTGCCCATCTGCTGTGGAAACTCCTCAGGGGTGTGTGTGCGTGTGTGTGTGGGTGTCTTCCTTTTCTTTCTTTTATAGAAAAGAAAGCATCATATATTGTTAGATGCCTTGCATTTTTTTTTTAATAATATAACGAAATTAGAACAAAGTTTAAGGCTGCTTTTAGACTTTCTGTCATCTCAAACAGTGGTCTCCAAATCTTTTTGCTGTCAACTTTATCATTAAAAAATTACTGAAGATACATATATATAATTTATGTATTTAATATATAATATATACCAATTCGATTTAAATTTCTAAGGTTAATTATTGTTAATACAGCAGTGGCATGATTATACTCTCTAGGAAATAATTATATTACATTATAAATAGTGTTATATATTTATTTTTATATAAAATATATAAATATTTACCTTATAATATTGTATATATTCATATTATATATAATTTATAACATATATAATTTATATTATAATGATATTTTATTGTGTGATTATTATGTTATAAATATATCATATATAAAATTATTTCATTTATAAAGTATAATCATGCCACTACTGTACTAACAATATTTACATTATGAAATTTTAATCGAAGTGGAAACTGCAAAAGGATAAATTTTAAATACTTAATTTTAAAAAATTGAATTTGATTTTTAATGGTAAAAAAATGCTTTCTAAAATATTACTGTTAATATCTTCGATAGGACCAATGTGTTGAATATGCCTTGTCATTTTCAAAAAGTCCTGGGTTACCCTTTTGTCATATAGCCATTCAAACGTCTGGCTATACATACAGTTTATTTTAATGCTTGGTTTCAAAGTCCATCAGAGCTGAAAAAGACACTTAACAGAGATATGTAGATTCAACAGAAGAAATGCCTCACCAGATGAGCTTTAGTAATTCCCAAAACTTATTTTTCAGTCTCATCTATTACACAGAGACAATTGTTGAAATTTTCTTTGTTTTTAAGGGTTTTTTAGTTTTGTTTTTGTAACGTGCATGTAGTAAGATGGGAACATTTCCAAACATCTGTTTTCAAAAGGCTCTTGCCATAGATTCAATTTCTTTGGAAAAGAAGTTAACTTCCTCACTAATTAATTTCACTAAGTGAAAATATCACTTCTACCTTGAAAAGATGGATTGTGTGTTTACTTTAAAAAATATATCTGCTAGGCAACATACTAACAATCGCCACTTGCCATGACAGCACGTCTGCAATGCTTGTCTTTTTGTCAAAGAAAGGATCCAGGACTCAACCTCAGGTTCCACAACTCCTTTAAATGCACTACCATGAGATAAGCAATGTAGTACAGGAGTCCCCCTTGACCACTGGCCATCAAATTGCAGTGTTATAATCATCCTACTCTTTGAAAGGCTTTGCTTTTATGAAACTAATCACATTGATAACATCCTATATGAATGTCAATTGCAATTATTGACAATACGCTAGACGCGGGACCGTGAGAAGATGCTTCGGTGGACCTCCTCCATGTGCCTCTCCCTCTTTGCAGATGTTGTCTGCCTACAGCAACTGCAGTCACATAAGACATCTGACTGTGTCACGTCTGTACTGAGGGAGGGCATCATGAGAATCCAGCATTACATACTAGGCAAGCTTAATTGTGTTCTCATTTTGAAATGAAGCAAATATGGACAGACATTCTGGTATTTTCTCCTTGGACTATAACAGATTGTCTTGAACATCTATGGAGGGCTTGCACTGTACTTGGAGAGTCTCTACACAAAGGACTCTCTACAATTAAATCCAAAAACTAGTTTTTCTTTAGTTTCCCTTTCTTCTAAAGTAAAATGCTTGCCAGATTCAATCTTTTCCTTTCTTCTTCTAAAGTAAAATACTTGCCAGATTCAATCTTCATAGAACTGTATCCTCAAATGAGTTGGCTAGGGTTGCTCCTGGAAGATCTGGCAACTCGTGCCCCCACCACCACCTCAGCGCTCCCCACTGGCCTCGTACCTGGCAGCATGATGATAAAAATGAAAACATCTACAATGTCCACGTATTGAGCTATTATCCTGTGCTACTCTCTATGCTAAACGCTCTAGAAAGATAGTCAATTCTCTTTACCCACTGTAGCTATGTTCTATAATGTCTATGCAGACAGAATTAGCAAATTCTGAACCATTGCTTCTAAGGGAAATATACGTTTAGGTTCCTTCAAGCTTGTGGGTCACAACATTCTTGTCAACTGATCAATACATAACCTTAAGTGTGTTTCTTAGTCACCTTTAAAATGTTGATTCATTAATGTGGAACTCAGGGCCAACAGCACTTTAAGTCATGCCTGAAAAAAAAATACCTGCTTGTATTTTCTCTGTAAGTCGCTTCACAGTCTTCTCACACACTGGTCAGAACTTCAGCACTGTGCTTGAGGCCATTTTAAACAGCAAAATCAGCCACAAAAAAAGCACAAAAATGCCCCCCAAAATGTAGCACTAAACAGACTTAGAAAAGGACAATTGGGCTGGGTGTGGTGGTTCACGCCTGTAATCCCAGCACTTTGGGAGGCCAAGGTGGGAGGATCACCTGAGATTAAGAGTTCAAGACCAGCCTGACCAGCATGACAAAACCCCATCTCTACTAAAAGTACAAAAATTAGCTGGGCTTGGTGGCGTGCACCTGTAATCCCAGCTACTTGGGAGGCTGAGGCAGGAGAATTGCTTTAATCCAGGAGGCAGAGGTTGCAGTGAGCCGAGAGCACACTACTGCACTCCAGCCTGGGCAATGAAGCGAGACTCCATCTTAATAAGAAAAAAGCAAACAAACAAACAAACAAAGAAAAAGGCGATTGTTTACAGTATGAAAACTGAAACAAGAAGGCAGAGTGTCTCCTTCTTTGGCCCCAGCTGGGAATGTGTATGCTGGGCAACTGAAATTTTTTGCCACTCTGTACATGACCTCAAAAGAGCAAGTGTATTGATATTGGGGTTACAAATACATTTTTTTAGCAAGTAGACTTCATTTGCAAACATAGAATTCTTGAATAACGAGGATCGACTGGGTCATCTCATAGTACCCTTGTAAATAGGTACTACCCTAGTGACATGTGAACCCAAAAGAACCTCAGAAGTCTCTTCTTCTGGCTACCTTCCTTGGATTTGGGAGGCTGGTATGGTGAAGTGACTTCTCCTAAAACGTCCAGCGCATGTGTGATCCATATGAAACTAAACCTAGGTCTCCCAGCCAGTCAGTGCCCTTTCCAGTACATAGTTATGGGACATGGGACCAAATACAGCTAATTTAACTTGCAGATGGGACTACATGGAAAACTTCTTGCATCCTATCCTGCCCCAGTTTATTCTCTGCAATAATTAAAATCTGCTTTTGATCAGAATATTTGATTTAATGACTTCTAGGACATGGGTACAATGAACACTTTAAAAAGGAAGATCACAAACCTGAATGAAATCAGGCACAAAATGAGAAATTAAAGGAATAAACTCCATAAAATATCTGCTGCAGGAACAGGCTTTGACTTTTTAAATTTAATTCTCCACTGAGCCAATTCATAGATGGCTAATATGAGAAGGAAGTGATGTGGAAAAATCCACACATCTTGTAGAATTTAAAGGAGATGAGAGCACATGATGCATAAATCGAAAAGATGTGCCAGGATGTGATATTTTAGTTAGAAAACTGCTAATGAATGTATATTTATAAAGGTATATATTGATGCCAGCTTATCTTAATTTTTTTGATATTCTAACAATGATACAAAATTAGGTTGTTCTTTATTTGGGGAAAAGAAGTAGAGAATTTGAAGCCCAAATTAAAATGGCTCTTATAACGAATGTTGTAGCCTGCAGGCTCTTTGAGAAGTGTGTACACCTCAAACTCAAAGAAGGAAAAAGAAAACGAAAAGGCAAAGATTAAGTTGGTTCTCTGCATAAGAGCCTCTGCTTATCAAGAATTGGTTCATCATTACTTTTATATATAAGATTTTTATTTCAAAGAATTCGTTTGTTCTAAGACTTTATACATTTGAGAATCTTTTCCCCAAAACGATTATAGCTTCATCCATTTATCTGGGATGATAATTGAGTGATTCTTATCCAATAATATTTCCAAACACCTTCATATGCATGGCATGCCAAACTTCCGTTATTGGCAGAAAAAGATGCTGTTACAGCTTTGTTTGTTACAACTGCACTTTTCACTTACTCTTAGAAGAAACTAAAAATTCCTATTCAAGACCCTAAATTTTCATTTATACCTCTTGTCTCAGTGTCACATCATCCATTCCTTTCATCCTTTAAGTTAAATCCTGTAAATCTTACTCATGTACTCATGTTAATTTTATAATAAACCATCTCCCCCCAAAAACAAAAGCTCACTTGTTTCAAGGATACTTTTTATTGATGAAAAAAATCTTGCAGATATGAAAAGATAATTTTCTTATTCCTATGACATTTTCTGTTTTTACAATTTTCTTTTCAGCAATGAAAACCTCTGATGTTCTCTTTTGGGAAGGTAGTTTATCCAACATAAGGATCCCATCCTCTTCCATAAATGAATCGATTAATCATGTCAAAAGCTCTCAGAGGCTGGTCATAGGGTAAAATATGTCCTCCACCTCGAATAATTACCTTAAAAAGAAAAAGAACGGAAATTTAGAGAAATGGATATTCTAAATACATGAAAAGTTTTCATTCAGATTAAACTCTATTTAAAACTCACATGAAATACAGAACATACTCTCCCAATGCATGCCTTTGGATAGGCTTTAATAATAGGCATGTTGCGCCGGTACGCCCGCGGGGGCTCAGTCCTGTAGTAACCCGCACATTAGGCGAGGCAAGGAAGGCGGATCAACGAAGGTCAAGCGAGATCCGAGACCGATCCTGGCTAACACGGTGAAACCGCCGCTCTTAACTAAAAAGATACAAAAAACTAGCCGGTGCGACGGGTTGCGGGCGCCTGTAGTCCCAGCCTCCGGAGGCTGAGGTCGGAGATGGCTGAACCCAGGGAGGCGAGCTTGCAAGTGAGCTGAATCGCGCCACGCGCACTGCCAAACCTGGCGGCAGACGCGCGAGACTCCGTCTCAAAAAAAAAAAAAAAAAAAAATACCCGCATGGAAGGAGGAAAATTTTAAAACTTTAGTTAACTTTACGCAAGTTGTTGTTCATTTCTCATAGAGTGTAAACCATATGAAAATTTTCCTTGTCTTTTTCTCTTGAGAGTGGATCTGCCTGCTCCCGGAGCTGGGGCGAGTGCTGGGCTGCAGGTGTTACCTGGTGAGGCCCACCTCCAGCCCACTACTTCTGGGGTATGTCAGGTCTGCCTGCAATGGGGTGGATTGTCTACTTAATTCCACCCTTCAATTAGCCAGCCCAATTGTCCCTCACACTGAGCCATACCTTCCATCTTAGCCTTTATCAGTAAGCGGAAAGCGGAAATTTTGGTTCTCAAAAAAAATAAAGAAACCAAAACATCCTTGATGGAGGCAGGAGGATGACCTGAGCCCAGAAGTTGGAGGCTGCAGTGAGCTAGGATTATGCCACATGCACTGCACTGCAGCCTGGGTGACAGAATGAGACCCCATCTCTAAAAAAAAAAAAACCTTGACACTTGAAATAAAAGAAAGTCATGTTTTGAGCAGCATAGAGTTAGAACATTCTTTTTTTTTTTTCCTAATATTAGATTATAAAATATTTTAAAACATAGCAAATTTGAAAACAATTCATATAGTGATGATTTTGAGTCTCTCCTGAACATTCACTTTACTTGCTTTCTCACATAAGGGTGCCTCTCTCCATCCCACACCCATCCATTAATCCATCTTATCTTTCTGACACATCTCAAAGTGGGCACATAGCGCACTTCCCCCAAACACTTCAGCATCACATTATTCGTCAGAGTTCAATATGTGTTTACAGATTTTCTTCTTTTGAGTGAAGACACAATGAAATGCACTAGTCTTAAGTGTAGACTCACCACTTCTGACAAATGCATACACCTGTGTAACTCAAGCCCTTGTTGGGTGATATAAAGCATTCCTAAAACATCTCTAATGACGAGTTCAAATCAACAAAAGGGGACTGGTCTCTGTACTCATTAAGCCTCTAGTATCAGCTAATATTCCAAGTAGAGGGAAACGGGAAGCTGTCATGATTCAATGCCAGAAGGGCAAGGACTGACACTGAGGGTTGGGAAGTTACATGCAGGAGAGGTCAGCGTGGCCTGAGATATCTTGTTCCATATGTGGAGAATGCACAGGAGGTACCAGAGAACGAAGTGAATAAACATATGCAAAAAGGGCATCACTTTCAGTAACTTCTAGCTGCTGAATCACAATCAGCAATTAAACGTCACTTTCACAAGGCCCTTCCTAAGAGGTTGGGTTCTTTTACTTGTCTCAATCTGAAGGAAACTGAGGCAGAAAAAGTATATTTGGATAGTGCATTTATTATATTGAAAATCTGCCCCTACCTCCCAACACATTCCATCTTACAACCTTGATGTGCGGTAAGTAGGATTAACACTATTAGATGATACTTACCTTGCAGCTCGCAGCTATACAAACTGTGCACTGCACAACTGCAGGGAGCACCATTCACATGAGCATTGAGATGACTGAGCTATTTGGAATCATTTAGTAGCTTGTCCAAGTCACACAACTGTAAGTGAGATAACTAGCTAGAACCCTGACTTCTGATGCAAACACCGGTGTGGTGTTTTTAATCAAATCCTAGTACTCACACAATCATTCCTTATCTTTGAACAGGACTTCGCAGCTTAGTCATGGAACATTTTTATTCACCTCTCAATAGCCCTCTGAGGTTTATTGATGAAACAAAAAAAACTTGCAGATATAAACAGATAATTTTCTGTATTTTTGTATTTCACATATTACAGTGAGGGAGGCAGATCTCATTTGCAGATGTGGGACCAGACTTAACTCTTTCACATGCAAATGTGAAACTTTTGTGTTTTGCTGCAGTTGATCAAAGGTCATGTGTGCCTCACTGCAATGACAGCGAAACCCATCGACCATTTGTGTACAAGCTTGCAACTGGAAACCCAACATGTCCACTTTTTATCACAAACTGAAAGTAAACATGTGTGACAAGAACCCCTTCATAGGACTCTAGAGGGAAACTTTTGCCGCCCCGCTAGACATTTCTTCCTGCAGATTTTCATCTGTATCTCTGGCCCTGGCAGGAATCTGATGAGTGATTTCTGTGTGGCTTCAGCTCAGCTGAGGACACTTAACAAAGTCCTATGTGTGACAAAACCCAGCTGCTTCAACTGGAAATGAGTTTGGCAGCAATGGTCCGGAACAGCAATAAATTGAATATCCGAGAGCTAAAGGTCATCCTGCCCCCAGAACCAGTGCTGCAGCTGACAGAGGATAAACAAAGGATAGCACAGTGCTTCACAGCCCGGGCTCAGAAGTCAGAGTGCAGGAGCATGGCGAGAGGCCCTGCACATTGCGTGACCTTGGGCAAGGAACTTAACCTCACTGAGCCTCAGGTTCCTTTACTTTACAATTGGGAAACAAGTATTACCTCATAGGGTAGTTGTGAGTTGTGTGAGGAGTTAGTGGAATAACGTCCCTGGAATATTTAGTACAGTGCCCGACCTGGGATGGTCTTCAGTAAATATTGGTCATTTTCAGTATTCTTCCAACACTTATCTATATTCAAAATCCAAAATCAAAATGCCTATATCAGGAGGATCGCTTGAGTGCAGGAGTTTGAGGCTGCAGTGAGCTGACTGAGCCACTGCACTCCAGCCTGGGCAACAAAAGGAGATCCCATCTCTAAGTATAAATCAATAAATATATATGTATCTATGCCTATGTGAACCTAACTACCCTAGAACATGGTGTTCCTACATTTTCATAAAAAACCTTGGTTTAAAAAGGTTGTTTAAAACAATGGTTCTTGGCTGGGTGCAGTGGCTCACGCCTGTAATCCCAACACTTTGGGAGGCTGAGGTGGGTGGATCATTTGAAGTCAGGAGTTTGAAACCAGCCTGGCCAAGATAGCGAAACCCCGTCTCTACTAAAAATTAAAAAAAAAAAAAAAAAAAATTAGCCAGGTGTGGTGATGCATGCCTGTAATCCCAACTACTGGGGAGGCTGAGGCAGGAGAATCACTTGAACCCAGGAGTCAGAGGTTACAGTGAGCCAAGATAGTACCACTGCACTCCAGCCTGTGCGACAGAGCGAGACTCCACCTCAAAAACAAACAAAAAAACCAAAGCAATGGCTCTCAGACTTGAACGTGCATAAAAATACCTGCGCTCATTAAAAGAGATTGTGAGGCGTCACCTCCAGACTCTCCAGTTCTGAAGGTCCAGGACAGGGCCTAAGAATTTGCATATCTAACAATTCCAAAGCAATGCTGATGCTGTTGTTCCGTCTACTTGTGGAGAACTACTGTTGATAATTTTTTCTATTCTGTGGCAAACCAGGGAATTCTGTTTACATCAAGGTAATTTCATTAACACCTACTCATGAATACAAGTAGAAATCTGTTTAATACCTACTCATGACCTCACTTCCTGGGCATCCAGTCTCCTGGTATTTATTCACACACACGCACACTCACACACACCTTCCCTGTCCATAATTATCAAGTGGTGAAGGAGAGCTGAAGGGGTCAGGTGTTCTTACTCTTCCTCTCAGTGACCTACCTGACCCTGGTCCAATTTCTGAGCTGCCATGTGTAATGACCCAATGACATTGTAAATCGTGTCATTAAGATTGGGGGAAAAGAAAGCTCGTTAAGGAACAAAGGTTGTTTCACATGCCACAAAATTCCCAAACAAAACATATTCGCTCAAGCAGATTCACATACAGCATTTTACTGATATTAACTTCAAAAATAAATATATTTTTGAGTGTGGAAAAATAAACCACTTTGTCGTTTATAGTTAAGCCACTCAGCATTCACAAATCAAAGATACAGATCACTCGGCAGCTTTTAGAGGTGAGTAACAAAATGTGGCGGGGCTGTAATTACATATTTAAATGTGATAAGATTAATCTCAGGGCTCCCTGAATAGAGCTGTCTATTTTGGGTGCCTCCACACTACAGCTGTAGCCTCTAACCTCATGTGTTCCAGATGTTCCAGGGGGTCACAAGTGTGTCATGAATTTCAACAGGGTTATACAAACACTTTAAAGCTTCATTCCACTTTATTTTTTAGAAAACGATATAATTCTCCATGGAACTAGAAACACAGACCTGCCAGTAAAGGTTTCCCAGTTATGCCTGTTTAGATGACAGAAAAGAGAGGGAAGTTCACAGTGGGCTTGTTGATGTAGATGTGTCAGGGGAAGCTTCTTGGGGGTCTTGAAGGAGATCACTGGACGGAGAATGCTGGGTAGGGTGGGGGTGGAGGGATCACCGCAGATAGAGGAAACTGCGTGAAAATGCTGAGGCCGTGAAGCTGCGGGCACGTGCAGCACAGGGATCACCGCAGACAGAGGAAACTGCGTGGAAATGCAGGGCGGCGTGGAAATGTGGGGGGCGTGAAACTGGGCACGTGCAGCAAGGGATCACCGCAGACAGAGGAAACTGCGTGGAAATGCAGGGGGGCGTGAAGCTGCGGGCACGTGCAGCAGTCTGTGTGTCGT